TGTTGACAAAGTTTGGTTTCAAGTTCATAGGAGCCTAAAAATATTAAAAATTGAATTTTTGATGTTTCTGAATGGATTTCAATGCTGTTAACATTGAGAAATTTCAGGGTATCTCTCATGCAAGAAATACTTGCTAAAAAATTTTAATTTGGATATAGATGTCACTTGAAAACTGAGTGATTTGAGCAATCCAACTTGGATTGTTCTCTCACTTGCACCATTTTCATATTGTTAGGTCTGGTAACATTCACACTCTTTCTCTGTCATTTCATACATACCTTTTCCACACAATTTTCTTGAACCCACCATTTCACTTTTTGCCCAAGCACCTCCGTCCCCTCAGGATTGAGGCGCATTCCATCTGTTCCAAACATGTTCTCTCTAATACAATCAGGATCAAGAAAGCTGACATTTTTCACACCCATTTTAAAGCATTTGATTTTGAATTCCATAATATTCTTGAACACTTTCATATTTACATCTCTTCTCATTCTCTCACAAGGATCATCCTCTCTAGGTTTTCTCAAACTACCGATTACTGCCACAGACATATTTTTTTCATGCACCTCCCTCATGCTACTAGTAATTTCCTGGATGATTTTTTCCACACCTATTTCTTTAAGCCCATTTCCCCACCATGTAAGACAAAGAGCCTGCAACTATAATTTTCAGTTTTGTGTTTTGAGTACTTCCATCTGTTAATAACGTTTGCTCTTCCTAAAGATACCATTTCACTACCTTCTTGTTTTGTTCATGCTAATTTTTCCCCACAAGTGCCAAAATCCCACTGTCCCCCACCATAGCAATTGGGTGCTTAACTAACTACAGTATCTTTCTGACATCCATCGCCAGCAGAGTGATAGATAGCAGCGTCGATAGATTTCACCTTGGACACACTCACCCCAGTCTCTACAATTTTGTCCTTACATTTCTTCCCCTCCCTGGTCTAGTACCGGGCATCTGTATTCACCCTGGCTCTATAAGCATGGTAAGAGAGATTTACAGCCCTTGCCTTGCTAGCTCTTGCAACAATCTCTTCTAGTTCTTTGTTCCTTTTCTTAAATTTAATATTTATGTCCCTTTAGGCTAAAATACACTCCCTACAGACAACATATGATCTCCTAATATCTTCATATGACCAGTCTTCAATCCTAAGTTGCTGCTTGGAAAACCAACTCTTGCAGTGACAACACTCCACCTGGTCCACAGGCACCTCATCTCCATATCAATCCCACTTTCTTGAGCTAGTTTACCTGGTCTCAGTGGTCTGCTTTCCCATCCTTCTAACAATCCAGTCAAGTATATTCTGATTCACACTCCAATTCAGACAAGATTCAGCACTTCCCAATACAGCACCTATACAGGCAACCTTATGACCTTATGATGAGTTTAGGATGTCGTAGTCCAAGGTCACGCTGATGCGCTGCCTACAACAAGTACATGTCCTAGCTAGACATACACAAAACACTTTAAAAAGAGGTAATAAGACTTAAGCGCAATGGATTTGATCACAAACATCTAAGTTACAAGTAAAATTAGTATGTCACTTCTAAAATAGTAAGTTGTTTCTGAAGAAATAAAAAAGATGTTTGTATAGAAACCTATCATTTACAGAGTCACAATAATTGCAAAAAGATACATAACCAGTAAAACAAAGTAATCTCATACTCACCTAGACCTAAATTTACACATTACGTATTAAAATTAGGGAGCTGGATTTTACACATTGAATAAATTGCGCAAAGCAATACAAAAAGAAGAGAAGAACTAAGTGCAGAGCTTGGGTATAAAAAAAAATATAAAATGTATAACATTAGAGGAAGAAGAAATTGTGCACAGCCTTAAAAAGAAATTACCAGGTACTGTTAGTATCCCTGTACTCTTGGTCCTTAAAAGTAGATGTAATATCCAAGATGCCCCAGGATGGGGGTTATCCCTGGAGTTGAAAAAAATGGCGGCCATTTCCGCACAGCAGGGTAATAAGGGACACCCAATAACATGCATTTACAGTAGAACCTCAGCTAGCAAAGGCTCCATTTAACCAAATAAATCAATTAACAACAAAAAATTTTGATTACTTTTACCTCACTCAGCGAAAAAAAAATTCATTCAACAAAAAATTAATGCATCATCCATCATCACAAAATTGTGCATAGAATGTCATAGATAGAATTGTGCACCTGGCAACATAGAAAGAAAAGTAAATGACCTAAACTACGATTTATTTCTCCAAAAAATATTATGATTGCGGTTAAAATATTCCTTTCTGTTTCAAGTATATTTTTACAATTTTTTTTATTCAAATGGTATGAAATTACAAACTGTCCTGTAAGCTTACAGATACTGAAGAAATGCTACCTGGCTGCTGATATGAAGCTTGCAGTGGACAAGGTCATTGTTAATGCTCAATGGCATGTTCATGGATATGGTAATATCACATCAATAAAACGATAATGTATGGATATGGTAATATCATATCAATAATGGAAAAACAAGTTCAAAACACAACAAATGTCATTTATTCTACATCTACATAATCTACAAAGGACAAGGACTTCAGAGTACTCTTGGTAATGGATGATTACACTTTGCATGCTTTAAACGTCATAAAATTGAGTTTTATTTCAAGTGTTCCGGATTAACCAGTTCCCGGGTGTAATTCGGGACACTTTTAATATGCAGCTGGCACCTTACAAATAGCATATGAATTTTTTTTTAGATGACATTTGATAGCCCTCGTAAAGAGCTTTAAAATGAGCCCAAGTTTTTAATGAAATGTTGAATGGTATGAAGTTATTAACAAAAAGCACTCAAAACCATCCCTTATTACCCCATTTGACAGTATTACAAAATGGATCAGAAGTCCTACCAGTCTACTACATTACACTTCCCACCATGATGCCAAGTAATACCGGGAACTCGTGAAAGGCTGCCTCTCTTTTGACGTTAGGCAATTTACCAACCATGTCAATCTCTGTGATGCCAATCTCAATTATATACACTAGTTGTTTATCTTCAACTGAACAATTTTTACAATGAATATCTTCTAAAATGAATACAATAATGTCAACTATTGCAGAAAAATCACAATTTTCACAATATCAGACAAAATGATGAGGTAATCTCTGATTATTTTATAGCATGTGACCAAGTTAATAACAGAATAACAGTGAACCACTGGAAATATCCCACTCCCTATTCCAGGGTGCTGAGTTTGGTGAATGCATTGCCAATTTTTGCATAATTTATAGACCGAAAATGTTGCCGACAGTATCAAAGATGATTTGCTGTATTGCTGGCAGTCTTCAAGATGTGTTGCAAACACAATCAACTTTGAAGAGTGTATCTTTAACAACCCAGGTATTGCAGTAGACAATTGCATCACAGCCATAATTACCAAATTGTGGATTGTGCTTTGCAGCCTCATCAAACCAACTGGAAATGGGAAATTTTAATAATGACTCAGCCACTGGTATGCCTGCTGTTTTTTGGGTAGGCTTATCTAGTTTTAGGTTAGATATGGTTTCGGTTACAGTGGGTTAAGGTTAGGCTAAATTTAGGATAGGCTAGGTTTAGATTAGGCCAGATTTATCATTTAGGTTAGGCTGGTTTAACATGTTGACTCTGAAGTGGTACATATGCATACCACAAAATGTATTTCTCCAGGATGTAGTGGTACACAATTCAGGTTGCTTAAAATTGGCCAAATCCAAGAGCAAAAAAGGCCAAAAAGGCCGATAACTCAATATATACTAGTTTGTTTGTAGCTTCCGCTATAAAAATTCCATTTATTTTCTTTTTGCAGTATTTAAAATTTAATTAGGAAGTACAACTATCATAAATTTTAGCCGGCCAACGCAATTGAGAAAAACTAAATCACGGAATTTGTCCGGAAAAATGATCGTGTGGCAACCCTGTTTAAAAACAGTAAAAAATGAAATAATTGTACAAGATGAAGCAATCATAGTCAATGTGTTAAGGATAAGCCAGTTTTTGGTTAGGCTAGGCTAGGTTATGTTTAGGATGTTGGGTTATGTTAGTTATGTTAGACTAAATTTTAGGCTAGGCCTGTTTCAGGTTAGACCAGATTCAAGAAAAGTTAGTATTAGGTTTGGCTTGTTTCAGGTTTTTCAGGTTACCCTGGTTCTAAGTTGGGTAATGTTAGGTTAGGCTCTAGTCTCTAGAAGTATGCTTACTTTGAGTTCAGAAAGGTGAGTTCATGATGAGTAAGGCTAGTCTAGAGTTTTTTTAGGCTGGGAAAGACTAGGAAATGTCAGGTAAGGAAAATTATAATTATTATATGATTTAACTAGGATTAAGTTATATATCATGAATATTTTAGGTTGATTTTTTTGCAAGTGATGTTAAGTTTCTTATATTTTACATGTTGGATTTGTACACCAAAGACTATTGGATTTGTGATTCTGAGAGAGGGGGGAAAGGTCTGTTGATGTGTGAAGTATTTGCTTGTGAGTGATTGCATGTTTTTAAAATCATTGCTACTATTTTATGAATTTTTGTTGTGTGCTGTGGTTGAGGAATGATGTGTTGTAGTGAATGTTGTTGAATGTGGAGTATGTATGGTAAATGAGTCCCTGTGTTTGCTGGATTAAACTCTTCTTGTTCTTTACAAATTCGTGATTGAGCTAATAAAATACATTCATTTTGAAATTTATGCAATAACTTGAATTGATGGCAAAGTAATGATATGTTAGCTGAAGCAATTGATCAAATAGATGGGTTGGAAGAGTAGATTCAAGAAGTCCTAGTTACCATTTGCTTGCAGGAATCACCATGACATGCATGTATTGCTGGCAAGAATGTTGTGCCATGTTTGCAAGCTTTAATTACTATTGGCCTTACTCAGGATTATTACATTAACTATAATGGCTGAAGTTCTGAAATATATTTAAGAATTCAAATTTTAGAAGATTAACTATATTCATCGTGGCATTGCTTAGCTGCATAGTATTATATTCTTAATCTTTGCTTCTGCACAGGTTGGCTGGGAAGAAGCTTGTCGCTCATTCTTCAGTGAACAAGTCAACCCTGACGATGATCTATCATGTGAAGCACCTGCTGCCAGGCCCAGCATTGAGTCCTTGTACAACCTGGAAGAAATGGAAAGAGATTGTGGGTATGTGAACTGGAAACTGCACCAACTGCTTTTGCTTGTGTTCTTGATCATCATGCCTTGAATAAAACAGTCTATTTAACTCATGTAGCTTGTTTTGTAAGTATGATTTTGTTACAAGTTTAACAAAATTTTTACAATGATACGTGTGGTCATTGTCTTGCAGGATTGACCTTCTTACAGTTCCAAATGAGCTCCCATCAAATGACAGATTGGATGATGCCACTTCAATTGATGGCCAGAAACCAACAAACTGGTTTTCAGGTGAGACTGATCATGATAATTGATAACATTTGTTTGATTTACTGCTATGTGAAATAAAAATTATGTTAGGTCATATCCACAATACCTATAGTACACAATTGGCTATTTGAAAAATCTAATTTGTTTCACTTATCATAGGGCAGTGCAAAACTTGAGTTGAATTGAAAATATATAATTCAATATGCAATTGAATTTAAATTTCAAAATTGAGGATTCTATATACACAAGTATTGATAATAGTTTCCCTTTAACTCATGTGACTTAAGCCTGATAATCATTTTAAAAGGAGGAAAAAAAATTATTCTTTGTAAGTTGTGCATCAAATCTTCTACAGATTAGCAAATTGGTCATCAAAGTATTATCTATGCATATTATTAGATCTTGATGACCATTCCAAAAAATTATGGATTCACCTCATGTTATATTAGAAGTAAACATTACAAATTCATCCTTGAATATCCTACAATTTTATAATTATTTGTAATATATTTTTACTGTTTTGTGGTGAGTGATGCATTTTTTGCATACAAACTTTTTCTCATGGCAGGGTCATTTTGTGATGGTGTGATCCCAGAGGGTGGCGCTAACCGACTGCTGACGCTGTACCACCAGACCTCTGAGCTCAACAAGCGCATAAGTATAGGGGACTATGCAAATCTTCGTTACAGAACACTTAAATACTTCACTACTTTCCGGCTGGTGAGGTTTATTTCAGACTTTCTACCCTTGCCAAACTTGAATGGGAAACGAGCAGAATTTTTGATTGCATAGAGTATGTACTTGCTTGTGTTACCGGTATTGTTCATTAATTCTAGAATCATAAGACAAACAGTGAAATAAAATGTCTTACAAAGGTTGAAGTTTGTTTAATTGCATTCTCAGTGGAAAATTGCCGAGATACAAAAGTTAATTTTGTTGCCATGAATTCCATTGTATCAATGCTTTTTTTTCAGCCTCAAGAAATCAATGATGCTCCTATGTCTTCAGACTTCCTTGAAGATGCTATCATTAATGTTAGGGTGCAGCGACCATTCTTCAAGAGGCTGCACTACAGGAAAGCCTGCAAGTAGGTTTAGTGGTATAGTACTTTTTGACTGTCTATGTAAGCAAAAATTTAGCTGAATATTCAGAAATTAAAAATACGAATCATTTATAGGCGTTTTTTTTTTTTTTGTATTCTTCTTTCTCTTCATGGAGCTGTAGATCCCATGTTGTGAGGAAACAATAATATTGGAACTATCATGCAAACTGAAAAGCAGACATGTACCCTGATTTTATGTGAAGAGTTTTCATTTATCCTAAAAGTGTATTAATTTACAGGTGCATAAATGCAGAAATAATGTAATTTATTAATTGCTAAAGACATAGTTAGCAAGAATTAAATAAATTGAATAATCTCATAGAAGTGTTTCTGTGATAACCCTATTATTTACATTATTTTTGAACATTTACAGCAGGTTCCCGGCACACAGCCAAGAGCTGCTACTGCATAGTTCCCAAATGCTGACGAGCCTCAGAGACGCCATCGAATGTGTCAACGACTTTGCCGTTCACGAAAACATGGCCTCCAACCCTAGTGTTGCAGCTGCGTTGCGGGGCAAGAAGTCCAAGGTGTATTTCATGAACAATCTTGTTATTAATGTTAAATTCATTATTGCCCTTACAAGTGGCTACATTGCATTTTAAAATGAGATACATATTATAATGAAACTACTATTAAATAAATGAAAATGTGAAGAGGTACTACTAGTATGGTGAGACAAAAAAGTGGAATGTTTCTTTTGGCTTTCTGGGGATTCCTCAAATAGCCTTCCTTTATGAACTGTGCATGTATCTTTCCAGTTTGGCATTTTTTTGTTCGGTTTATTTTCGTATTTTTGTTTGGTTTGACTGCAGTCTGTACTTATAACCCATGAAGCTTGAATATTTTTTCATTCCAATAGTATCAGTATATTATGTTTCAAATACAATATATATAAAATATAAATATATAATAATAGAAAATATATCAATTGTTTGAATGATTGTAATTTTTGTAGTAGGCAGTGAAACTATAGCTTGTTATTTGACGCCAGCCTATGTTTTTGGCGATCGTTTATTTCTGCCAACCTGATTAGACTATTAGAGACTTGGTAAGCTGGCAAAGCATCTTTAGAGTTCACACTCCCGATCAGAACTTCAGCCTTCTCTAGTTAAACAAGATTCTAATGCTGTCTTTTCTTGTTTTATTACAGGAAAAATATCCGTCTGGCATGTTTTACATCAATGGCACATTTTACGTTGATATGAGGTATCCAGGCTGTAAGGACTACAGCGCAAATCTCATCAAATGGGCCGCTCGGTTTCCTGAAATCGGTAAGCTCGTTAATTGATTTTTATTCCTGAAATCCATTATTATTAGTTCAGGTCCTTTTAAAATCATTAAAATTAATTGTGTTTTGGTAGTGTTTGAAATTATTAGTCACATTAGACAAATAGATCTCTTATCATTAAATGTAATTTGGTTAATGTCATATGAAATGCATTTTTAAACATTACTAAGAAAGCTCATAGAATATTTTTCTATTCTTTGTCTAAATTTTTGTGTTGTTTGCAGGTGAACTAAAGACCGCTTCTATGGAAAAAACAAAGTTAAACGAACTGAAGCTGCGTTTAGGTTATCCTTACTTGTACCTGCATCAGGGAAGCTGTGAACATCTCATCACGTTTACTGACATCAGGTTTGTTTTTCATTTCTAATACGGTTAATCAAGTCGATATAGTCAGAATCACGATTGTAATGAAAATTCATGGTTTTACTAACATCTCTTTTGGTAAGATTACGGACCTAAGAGGGGCAATTATGGTAAACAAATGTGATCATTTCCTAGTCTTTAATCCTACCCGCATGTATCAAAAACTTAGCAGCTGCCGAAACTACGATAAATGAAATGATAATTGAATAATAATTTAACCCTAGTTACCTTAAAATATCCTCCACTGTGTTTACGCCAGGTTGCAGGAGAAAACAGACGTGCCCGACGTCTCGAAGTATCCTCTGGTCCGCGGCCACGCCTCCAAACTCAGCGTCAGGTGCTACACTTGCCATCACAACCTCGCACAGTGCGTCTCGAGCTTCCAGGCATACCTCGCGCTCCTAGTTCACTCAGCTTTCTAAATATTCTGAAAATTTATCGTGTAAAAGCAAATTAAGCGCATTAAATAAACTGTCTGATGATAGGGCATTCAAATCCTTCCATAAATCGCGCATATAATCCATTATGTATTAGTTGATTTCAATTTTATTTTATTTGCAACGAAAATTTTTAGTGTGGAAATGTACCACAATTTTTTAGAGACTTGGACAACCAGTATAATCTAACATTTAAAATTGTTGAAATTATTTTTAAAATTTATTTTATTTATATCATTTATGAGATCATATCATTTTATTTTTATTTTTTATATCATATTAAAATCATCGATGATTCAAGTATAACATTTTTCTTAATGCGCAAAAACTTGGTGTTCTTCCACGCAGGTGGGTGGTGATCGGCTACAGTCAGCTTAGTGATCCTCGCTCTCACTTGTGCGATCCTTGCTTACATGCGTTCTGCTACGACAGCCAGGGCAAACCAAAGGACTCTTTCACGCTCTATGCCTTCTATGACGAAGGCAGCATGCAGCTGGCAAAAGTCATGACTCTCGATGACAATGATGAAGATAATGATAATGACGGTGAAAATGATGACGACGGATATCAAGAACATATTACCAAGGTTGAAGTTGAAGACCCTGATGTTCCTGCCGTCTCCGGAGAGGATATGGAAGAATCTGATAATGATGAAATGCTTCCAGATATAAATAATTGAAGAGTGTTTTTGTTATATACTCTTGTACCTGTCTTTATCGCACATCATTAATGTATGTAATGTTATGGACGTTTTTGTAACATTTGCTTAAAACAGGATGCTTTAGCCAGATTTGGTAGTAGTAATCCTTGAATTAATCACTTGTATTCACTGCTGCGCATGAAATTAGTAACTTACTTGATGCTTGCCAGAATCTTAAAAACGTGGATGATCACAAGTTCAATGGATTACAATGTTGATATCAGTTTTTTTTATGGCTAACAGCTCGGTTAAAGGACTCTGTTATGGCTGACAGCTCGGTACGAAAAAATTATAATCTTAGGATGATTTTGACAATAAATTGTCTTGTATGTTGCTTTTTACTCGCAAGCTAATTAATTTTAAGTGGAACTCGATCCCTCAGTCGCCAAATGCGTCCTGTAAATAATATCAAGCCAGATAATAGGATGAGGTATTGCTCTAATGAAGGCGACAGTTACAGGATATTCCTAGATGATTTGCACAGTTCATAGGTACCGGTACAGGAATAGATAAATCCTAGATACAGAAACGAGAAAATGCGCTCGCTGTCACTAACTGCTGTGAGTACTGAGTTATATTTTTTCCAAGTTTTAACGTTGGTTCTCAGCCTGAAGAGAGGATTTTCGATATAGAGTACCGTCGATAAGGTCAATGATACTTTGGTCGCATGCATGCTCGGTAATAAAAACCGTAAAATACCGGTCAAACCACAACTTGCAATATTCTATTACCAAATTAATACTTCAAAACTGTTTTGTTTTTGATAAAAATTTGGGGCTCTGTGTCTAGTAGATATAATTGCTTGCATTGACATTGGATGACTTAACTTAAATTAATCGAAATTGCCTACAAATTTAGTTTGCCAAGTAATACTATAGTTCATAGTTGTTAGATTTTTTTTTCTGATAGGCACCTGATTTCTGATTAGGAATCAAATCTTTAATACTCCACACATGTAGATTACTGAACGGTTGTCATCTTTAGTGTCAAGTGTCCTTACAGTGATTGTTTGCTTTGAGAAAAAACTGTGAAAAATATATCATTGTAATTTTTACTCTTTCTTCATTCATTGATCGAATTTCGACAGCTTTCGCAATTATTATTTTTGGTGCTTTCCGATGAGGTCAAGTTATTACATAGGATGCAATAAGCGATCAACATCTAACGAACACTGGTAAACGAGCGATGCGCTTCATGTAAACAAAGGATACTGCGACCGCCTTTGCTAACGCGCAGCTGACTAAGCTGAAGGGAATAGCTGCGAAGAAAGACGATGTCTGTGGAATCTATGCCTGAATTTCCCGTCTCCAGCCTTCTGCCGAAGTAAGTTTTGATGTCAATCGGTATTATTCCTTGTATCCTAAGAATCATTCGTCTTGTTATTCATACTTTTATACAATTTACCGTGACAGAGATTTTCTGAAGGAATGTTTGAAACTTGACTGTTGACGGTAGCTGGGAGCATGGGAGTGGGTCCTGAGAGCCCGGACACTGGTGACTGGACAGAAAATGTTGTAGCTTCTTTAAAAGAACAGTCTTTTCTATTAGATTTTTATACACTTAGAGCTTTTGCTACAAAATTAAATGTCTAAGACAATCTGTCACACAATTAAAAGTTTTACTATTTATTACTATTTTATAAACCTGCCAATTACTTCTAAGCCTATTAGTATTACTAGTATTACTCACTTATTAGTATTACCAAATTCTCATTCACTGAATGACTCATCATTCGACATTCATTGCATTCCATCCAATGTTCTGTAAGATTGTTAATTTAATTGTATTACCTGCTTAGCCCTACCTGCTGTTATATTCTGTCAATTTCCGTGTAGAATTATATCATAATTTATTATTGTATACCTATATATTTACCTATACTTGTAACTTGTAAGTGTAAGTCTGTAACTATATGACAGTAGGCTAATGGTATTTGTTTTGGTATTATTATTAATTTACGTAAAATGGCATTCATATTATTCAAATTTGATGATTCATCATTCCAGACACTGCAGTAGTATTCATTTTGATTGCCTTTAATAAATACTTACATGAAATATTTTTTCTTATTAAGATCTGAAAAGCTTTACAATTTATGTAGGTAGTGAACTATGGAAACAAGTGTGAAATATGGCATTCAAATTATTTAAATTTGATGATTCATCATTCCAGACACTGCAGGAGTATTCATTTTGATTGCCTTTAATAAATACTTACATAAAATATTTTTTCTTTTAAGATCTAGCTTTACAATTTATGTAGGTAGGTAGTGAACTATGGCAACAAGTGTGAAAAAATATCTATTAATAAAGTTATCATAGCAGTAGTTAATGAATTCTGAACTGAGATTTGAGAATAGGGCATTCTAATTTCTAACACTTCATTATTTTCATAATTCTTCAAGTGATGTGTTACAGCATTTTCATTTATTTTCAGTATAGTAGCTCTGACATTAAAGAATATGCCTGCTATTGCTTGTTTTGGCCTGTCATTGATTTTTGTAGTTTTTGTGAATTGTTCACAGATCTAAGAAATGGCCTTTTGACCTGACCTTTTGGCTTTTCAACTGATGTTGGTTTGACTGTTTGACATCAGTCACATCATTACAAATTACTGAATTTTATTATTTTCAAAGGTTGCTACTGCTAGGCATTTTACAATTATTTGTTGTTGTAATAATATACATTTAAAAATTACTTTTTAAAGACAACACTTCCAAAGAATCCAGTATCTCCAATCTTACAGATGCACAATGAATTTCTCATCTAATTTTCGAAAATTAAAAAAATTTACTTTTCAATTTTTTAAATATATATAATATATAAATTTTTTTAATATATAATTTTTTCAAAATTATTTATTCTGTTAATTGATTCATGCATTGCCTCTGACTTCACACAAATGTGCAAAATTTGAGATCAATTAGACTGGTAAAAGTGTGTTAAATATCAGTTATAATATTTGTAGCTGACAAAATTATTTTTTCAATTTTTTTAATATTGAAAAAAAATTTTTTTACTTTTTAAAATCATTTATTCTGACATTTGATTCATGCATTGTCTCCAACTTTAAACAAGTATGCAAAATTTCAGATCGATAGAATAAGGAGAAGTGTGTTAAATTTCGATTACAAGATTTGTAGCAGACAGACAGACAAACAGACAAACAAGAAGGGAAAGTTAAAGAGAAGTGTTGTAAAAAGGGCCAAAAACTTTAAGCCAAGTTTACTTTAAAGTCTCATTGAACACAGGCAAATGTGAAGGGAGCAGAAGTGAAGCAACTCAAATAATTAGAACACAGGCCATGTCAATACATTTTCATTTCATTGATTGTAGAAGTGTTTCCATTTCTATTATCATCTGTAAAAATATTGTGATCAGCCAGAACTACATTGATGGCTTTCTTGCATTGATGTGGAAAAGCAATATATACTATGCAACACTATATGTATAGAACTCTTTAATCCAGTTCAATCTAGAATTCAACCAAGGGATTTTTTAAATGTATTTAAATATATTTGTTTTCAGGAAGGAGACAGGGATTTTGTCTTTTCTGAACAAGTACCCCAAGTATGATGGCACAGGCATTGTAATAGCAGTGTTTGACAGCGGTGTTGACCCAGCTGCTCCTGGTTTACAGGTATTTTAGTTGTTTAATCTCTATGGGTAACAATTTCCTTTTTGTTCTTCAACTGTATGGAAATAGGAATTATCAATTAATTAAGGTCTCTACTCATGATATCCAGCGTATGTTTTATGGGAACAGTGTAAAGATATACTATACTTGCACAAAGAAATTTTGTTCAAAAATTGTGGCCAAGGCCATTCACACTCTGACTACTCTTTGTTATTGTCTTGCTGCTTGAAATGTATGATCATACCTTTCTCTCATATAAGGGCTTCTTGTATATTTTTGAATGACTATGTTTGTTAATTTCATGCTGATAAAGATTATTGATTCTTTATTAGGGTAGATGTAAGAGAAAATTAATTTTCTTTTTATTTTATCTTCAAGATTTGATGAAAATTTTATAATATATACATGCTCTCTTGTCTTAAATTTTCTTTCTAAATTTTTAATGGAATGATTTTGATCATTACAGACTTGCACAAATGGCACTGTGAAGATTTTAGACCGGCTTGATGCTTCTGGAGCTGGTGATGTCGACACATCTGTTGTGCGCGCCCCTAATGCCGATGGCACATTACCTGGTCTCACTGGCAGAACGCTCAAAGTACAAATATTTGCTTTTTTTAATTTCTAAATACTTGTTTCATCTTTAATCAAAAATTTAATTTTCATTTATAATATATAGGTACTTTAAACAATAATTATATAATTCCATTTTGCACAAAATATTTGAGATATTTCATATGCCTGACAACTTCTTCATTCTACATGTTTCTCTTTGAAATTCAAATTCTGTTTTTGATATGCTTAGATTCCATCATCATGGCACAATCCAAGTGGTCAGTTTCACCTTGGTGTCAAATCTGCGTATTCCCTCTACCCATCTAAACTCAGAGAAAAGCTTATGAAGGAACGAAAGGAACAGTTCTTTGAACCACAACACAAAAAGTTACAAGAGGATGCAATGAGAAAAGTACAGGTTTGGATCAATATTATTTTTCTTATGGAATGAAGCTTGTGAATAAATTTTGCAACTTGCATTATGTTATCTGGTACTAGTAGACTAGACAAAGTACAAAAATGCTGATGGAATGTGTATTTGTCTTCAGCCTTCAAATAAATGTGCAAGTGTGGTCCATAAAATGTTCATTAATTCTAAGGTACCTGTTCTTTGCAGAAGCAACGACATAACAATTCTGTGTCTACCCTGGCAAGTGCATCTTCTGCAGATGACAACGTGAGTGGGGCTTAAGAAAGCTTTTTTTCTCTGGGGCCATCATCATATAATAAACAAATTAATTTTATTCCAATAAATATAAAATGACGAACTGATGCCATTCCATGCAACTTGTTTTTCTAAGCAATGGTAGTCATAAACACCATGTCAATGATCTAATTTTTATAAAAAATTAATTTTTTTTATTGCCTCGAACCACTTTTTTTCTTTACTTGGCTTTAATCTAAATATCTTAATTTTGCATGACAGGAATCCAGTTCATGTGAAGGAGGTGCAAGCAAAGGTCTACTCCTGGGATGCTGCTCTCAGGATACTCTGCCAGCTGATTCTGACAGCAACACTGCCATGGGTGATCAAGCGTGCTTGTATTAACATAAATTATGCGCTGCGATCGGAAAAATTGATTTCCCTGTTTTATTTTTTTATGGTTCAAACGTTAGTTGAAGATCAAGAATTTGTAATTTAATAGGAACAGCTGTTAAAACAAACCTCCAATTTAAAAAAAAAAACATTGAATAAAGTAGTCAACTTAAGATTGTGATATTAATGCATTATATATTTTTCCTATTACTTTAACTTGATGCTTGGATAGTTAGTGAGGAATAGGCTTTAAGTACAGGAACAGGATGGCAATAGGTCATAGAGTAACTCAAAGTGCAATAGAAAAGCTTTTTTTCAGGTTGTCAGAGCAGCGGCACACCAGGTCCTGTACCCTCTCAGTCAGTTAACTACTCCAGCTTCCTCGAGAAGCAAATGAAGGAAGAAGCTGAAGCTGAAGTGGCTCTTTTGTCAACGCTTATCAAGAAGCATCAAGATATTGGGCCAGCATATGATTGTGTTGTCTATCATGATGGAAAATGTTGGCGGTGAGAAATCTGTTTCATACTTTGGATAAAATTCAGATTAATTAACTATTTCACCCTGTCATTTTGAATTGAATAACTTATTTCAAACACCAGACAAACAATGCAAGCAAACTCTGTAATATTATGCTCTGTCTAAGTGAGTAATTGAAGTATGCTACTCATGATTGTCTTCTTTATTAAACAGCGCGTGCATAGACACGTCAGAAAAAGGTGACTTGGAAAGCGGCGTTCACTTGGGCGAGTATCGTCACACTCATGAGTGGAGCTTCCTCAACGCCAGAGACAGCTTCACAGTCTCCATAAACGTTCATAACGACGGCAACGTTCTCGAAGTTGTTGGCATGTGCTGTGAGTAAACATATAACTACGGCAACGTTCTCGAAATTATAAAAATTTACTTGCATTCCTCATGCAATTGCTGGGATGAAGAACGAAGCAATTGATAAAATTGGAAACTTTTTGTATCTTCGAATAATTTGTCTCAAAAAGATTCCAGGTGAATTTGTTCAATAGCTTAATCTCAATTAAAATTATTTAGCTTTTCTTCTGGCTTCGAATTTCTCTTTTTTTCTTTTTGTGACGATAGGACAAAGTTGCTCGAAATATTACCTAGATCTTGGAAATATGCTGCCAAATTATTACCTAGATCTTGGAAATATGCTGCGAAATTATTACCTAGATATTGTAAATATGCTGCCGAAATATTACCTAGATATTGTAAATATGCTGCCGAAATATTACCTAGATGGGTTAAATGATTTATATTCTATTACAGCAAGTCACGGTACGCACGTGTCGTCGATCGCTGCAGCGCACTTCCCTGGCCAGCCCGAGCGCTGTGGCGTGGCTCCCGGCGCTCAGATCGTTTCCATAACTATCGGTTTGTATAACAACTGCTACATCTTTCTCCTACATTTCTTTTATTATTTATTTACAACTGCACAACTTTCTCCCAGATTTCTTTTATTATTTATTTACAACAACTGCTACAACTTTCTCCCAGATTTCTTTTATTATTTATTTACAACAACTGGTACAACTTTCTCCCACATTTCTTTTATTATTTATTTACAACTGGTACAACTTTCTCCCACATTTCTTTTATTACTTATTTACAACTGGCACAACTTTCTCCCAGATTTCTTTTATTATTTATTTACAACAACTGGTACAACTTTCTCCCACATTTCTTTTAGTATTTATTTAAAACAACTGGTACAACTTTCTCCCAGATTTATTTTATTATTTATTTACAACTGGCACAACTTTCTCCCAGATTTCTTTTATTATTTATTTACTGTACAACAACTGCTACCACTTTCTCCCACATTTCTTTTATTATTTATTTACAACAACTGGTACAACTTTCTCCCACATTTCTTTTAGTATTTATTTAAATAAGTTTTCAAGCCGTTTTTCCTTACTGTGCATAGATTTATCATGCCATTCTGTTCACAGTACCAATACCTTACAGTCATTCATTTAATAATTTAAAAAAGCCAACCCCTATTTTATGAATTTATAGTTTACCCGATAGTAGTATATGTATAAATCATTGTGTCTGAGTTGCTCAAGCTGGTTGCTTGAATCCATGAAAGCTTTCTACAAGCAGGTTCATCTTTGTGAGGCAGTCCTACTAATTTTTCCAAAATACTCGAGAGATCCTCCAATTCTTTTGTCAGGCTTCTCATTAAAAGACAATATATTAATTCTGAAATTAATTCCATAATGAACTTTGTCCTTCCAGGAGACAGTCGAGTGCACGGTATGGAGACTGGCACTGCCTTGTCTCGTGCGATGTCATGGGTCATGGATAATCCTTTTTATAAAGTAGATATCATCAACATGAGCTACGGTGAACACTCACACTCTGCTGTTGCAGGGTGAGTTTTAGATCAACTTCGGACTGTAGTAGAATACACTCTACTTACCCTGACTACCAATCAGTCCGCTGTTTTGCATAAAATCTCTTCCTGTTTGGGAATTATTTTGGCTAAAATAGCTGGAAGACAGCCGATCATGTGTATTTATGTAGGTACTACATATGATTGCCGAAGGTGTATTTGGGATATTCTGCTATGAAAATTTTGAGTTCAGTAAAGTTGTGCCAATTAAGTTTAGTTGCTTATGGCGAACGGTTGCTTCATTACATGTTAAAACCAGTTGTTAGTTCACTTTTCTTGCAATTACTATTTGAATTGTATTTATTTTAAATAATCATTGAACTAAAGACGTTGTTTTTTGCAGTTTTATTTTAAGGTGTTTGAGGAAATTATGTTCTATGGGTCATTTCTTTATTCTTTGCATTAGTTAATCATGGCTGATGTTATTATAGTTAAACTTGTACAGCTCCTATGGTTCCTGTATTTAGCCATTTAATTAACCTGGTATTTAGATCACTAATAGCGGTAGATCTTCTAGTATATGGACCTTGCATTTTATGCGGGCAGCTTAAAATTTATTTCTATTTAACAAATATTGCTTTTACTTCAGAGATGATTTTTGTAAAAATTTTGAATAAACCTAATTAAGTGGTCCTAGGCACACAGCCAGTGGTTCCAAAACTCTTTCGTTGCTGGTAATGCATTTCGCAGTTGCATATTTTGGGCCCAATGGCTAATTTTAGCCCCCCTATTTGGGTATAAATTTAAGGATGGATATTTTGAATGAGGTGGATCTTAAGTTGAACAGGTACAACGAGCCAGTACGTAAAAGATTTTTTGGCTTTATATATTATTAATGTTACCTTGCAATTCATGTGCACACATGTGTAGAATTTCAAGTCCCTTTGGTGTACAATCTTTATGCTGCATATCCTAAATTCTGGCCCAAGAAGTTTCATATATGTCTAGCATGGCCCTCTCGGAAAGAAGAGTTTCAGAAGCCTTAGTCAACAATTAGTATTTCTCACACGTGGATATTTTTTGCAGACGTCTGGGCGAAATGGCGTGTGACGTGGTGAACAAGTATGGCATTTTGTGGGTGGCGAGTGCCAGTAACCACGGACCTGGGCTGTCTACCGTCGGGTCGCCTCCTGACTTCTACAGCGACTGCATCATCGGCATCGGGGCCTACATCTCCCCAGACATGATGAGGGCCGAGTACAGCATGATGGACAAACTGCCTGGTGCGTTTGTCTCGCTCAGTGAAGCCTTAATTGCATTTTATATACGTTAGAACCTTGTTAATTCTTCAAGCTCTAATTATCTTCTGTAATTATAATTACGCATCAAAGTCTTTTTGTGAATATCGCTTGTCAATTTGATTATTACTTAATTTCTGTTTTTGCAAAGAAATATTAGTCATATATTGAGAAATCTCTTCAACAATAGTGTTTTTCATATGAAGCTGTTTAAGTAAATATTAATATCCTGTGGTGAGAGTTATTTGAATTAGTATGAAGTGCTTGCTAACCTCAGGCACGGCGTACACGTGGTCGTCGCGAGGGCCCACAACTGACGGGGGGCGCGGTGTGAGTGTTTGTGCTCCTGGGGGCGCCATCACCAGCATGCCTTCCTTCACCAACAAAACTTCGCAGCTGCTCAACGGTACCAGGTCTGGCAATGATACTTCATCTATTGTATCGCTTGCTATTGTTTCATTGCTGTAAAATAAATTCTGGTTTACTTTCAAACATCTGGATATGAAAAGTCGTTTGTTCCTTTTAATTCATTGCTGCAGAATATTGCGTTTTACTTTCAGTGATATATGAATATAACTTCAAGAAGAATTATTATTTGATGTTGAAAATTTGAAGTTTCTTGAAAACCAGAAAATGTTGTTAATCAAATTGGCTTTCATTTTTTGGCTTTTGAAATAGTTGACAGACAGGAAACAAAACCATATTAATTCCTTATCCTTGTATTCCAAACAACAAAATGAAATGAAAGCATTTCTAAAACATTATGATCGCCGTGCAAAATTTATGTCTTCTTTACTGTATTTTCATGTTTTAGATGATTTGTAATCTTCTTATATATCTTCACATGTTTTGAATAAATTCGTATCCTCTTGACTGTCTTTAATAAATTCATGTTTCTTAAATATCGTGTTATAAATAATTCGTGTTTCTTAAATGTCTTTCCATGTGTTGAATAAATTTCTATCTTCTTATGTCTTCACAAGTTTTAAATTAATTAATTATCTCTTGAAGATCTCTATATGTTTAGTGTAAATGCACGTGTTGACAGCATGTCGTCACCGCACGCGGCCGGGTGCGCGGCGCTGCTGCTGAGTGGGCTGCGGCAGGCGGGTCGCTGCTACACGCCCTACAGCGTGCGACGCGCCATACAGAACACGGCACTCAGGCTCGACCTCGAACCTTTCGTCCAGGGACATGGACTAATTCAGGTAAAAATTACAATAATTCAGGTAAAAATTCGATAATTCAGGTAAAAATTCGATAATTCAGGTAAAGATTACAATCACTCTCGTGTATTTTATTCAGTTTGCCTTCTGTGGTACGTATTCAGTATTTCACTAAGTGCTTACAGTGAGATATATTATTTTATTATGAACCTTTTCTAAATCTCTATCAGATTACAATTCCAATCCCGCCAATTTATGTCCCGCCAACGGTTCACTTATTGTGTTATTTCTCATTTCTTTACTTAGAATGATATATATTATTTTATTATGTACATTTCGTGAAATTATTTACAGTTTTTACTTTGGTTAAATTGATGTATATAAATGGATAACTTTAACGGATTTTCCGTTTCTAGGTGGAAAAAGCTTTTGAATATCTACTGGAGAACAGTGCAGCAGACCAATCCAAGATGGCGCCTGAGGACAAAATGCGCTTCGTGATAGAGTGTGGAAACAAGAGTCAGAAGGGCATATATCTGCGCAACTGGCTCGGCAATAAGAGTGTTGATGTCAGCGTCACCGTCGAGCCCATTCAATTCGATGAAGCCAGAGGAGGTGAGGCGAACATTTTCATATATTTCACACATTTCCTTATAATGCTTATAAGAACACAACAGAAACGCTGTTAATTGTATGAAGTTTCGCAGTGTGAATATATTGGTATTTGAAATTGTCATTTTTTTCTGAATTAATATCGCTTATTTGCTTTAACGATGAAAGAAAAGATTGATGTTAATATCGTTTCATTGGCATATCGAAGTACCGGTTACTGCTGCCTGTACCCAATCTAAGCTATCATTCAGATGATGAGGTGAAGCATAGCAATGCCTTATCTTTGCTATCATTCAGATGATGAGGTGAAGCGCAGCCTCAACCTGGACCTCGTGCTGGCGTGCGACGCGCCCTGGGTCAGCTGCCCCGACTGCCTCCAGATGTCTTACACGCCGCGCTCTCTCGTCGTCAGTACTTCTCCGTTACTTTAAAATTTTTTCTTAGATTTATAAGTGCAATGAAAATTTATTGATCTATTGCTAGGTTAATCTATATTATCACTTGGGACTTGGTGATAGTGCAGTCAAATATACATTCTGCAACAAATTGTTGATTAATTGAAGGTGACACAAGTTTGTGCATTACTTTATTTGTGATTAACTCGCTTTGTGTTATTGTGCTGCATCGCTGTTTGGTGTTTGCAGAACTGGAAATGATTGAAGCTTTTTTTAAGTTTTTAATATATGAAAGCAAGCTTATTTTTTGTAGGAGAGTTATTATATTTCCTTTGAGAAGCTTACAATTGAGCAATCACTAAATCTTAAGAACCAGTCATATATCGGCTCTTCTTCCTCCTGCAGGTGCGTATTAACCCTCACGGTCTGGAGCGTGGCCGCGTACACTTCACAAGCATTCGGGCTTACGTTGCTGGAGCTGTGCAACGAGGTCCACTTTTTGATATTCCCGTCACTGTGGTCGTACCCATCGTCGAGCTCGAGCATGGATATTTTTTCAAGAGGTGCTTGATTGTGATAGTATATATAGCATGAGGTATCCCCTCAGAATGTATATAATTATCAATCAAGAGGTGCTTGATTGTGATAGTATATATAGAATGAGGTAACCCCTCAGAATGGATAGTATTCTCAATCAAGAGGTACTTGTTTGTGATACTAGTATATATAGAATGAGGTATCCCCTCTGAATATAATAGAATTAGACAGGGGGGTATCCCCCTACTTCTATTGATTAATTCAATTTTTACCGAAAATTGACGGTTGCTATTGGATAGCAGCAGGTACTTGATTGCATTTGCTATCTTAGAAGATCATCAACTTGTGTTTGTGTTTGACATGATCTGGCATCATGTATAGCTCCAAATTCTTCAAAACGTGCTATTTATCTAGCCATATTTTTAAAAGTAATTTTGCCTTCATTGAATATTACTTGAAGTATATGTAAAGTAATGTTAATTTGATGTCCCGAGCAGCCAACCGGAAGTGTATCGCGCCGGTTGCGTGCGAAGGCTGTTCGTGAGAGTACCAGAAGGCGCATCGTGGGCGCAGTTTGCCATCAAGTCGAGCAACAGCGACCAAAACCAACGCATGACACTTCATGCAGTGCAGCTTTTCCCTCAGTGCTGTGTGCTTACTTACGACCACTACAAGGTAGTACTTCCCTCAGTGCTGTGTGCTTAATTACGACCACTACAAGGTAGGGCATTTAAGGTTTATTTTAAGGTTTTGGGCCTTTGGCTCCTCTAGTCTAAGCTAAATGACAAATTAAAGTAATTTATGTGTTATGTTATGGAAGTATTACGTTGGTTTGAAAATAAATGAGGTATGACGTAGACGGGCTTAAAATTTAAGGCAGGAACTTTCACCAAATAAGAATGAGGACAGAAAAACGGTTTAGTTTGCTTAGCGCTGGTGGAAAGTAAAGTCATTTGACACGGAAGAGAAGGCGTATTATTTGGTGACATGAGTTTTTTATACTGATTTGCCAAGTTACAATAAATTGAAATACATAAATGCTTATTACTCTGCGTCTTGAAAAATGGCTTTGCCAAACTTGTACTCTCTTATCTCAAACTTGATTAAACAATTTTCCTGAGGCACGAAATTCTTACCGATTGGTTGGAAACTTTTTTAGCGTTATCATTTGGCTGTATTAATTATATCTTAATATCATGACGCTCCTGTACTTGTAATAGCTTACGTGACGGAAATGTGTTACAGTGTATTCTCTGCACTTTTTCGCCGTTAGTTTCACTAAACACTTGATATTTATTAGAGTATACCTTATTTCCTAACTAAATTATCTTCTTCCTGGGTGCAGACGTTCTCGTGCTTGTACCCCGAGGAGCAATCAGTGACATCGTTTGCTGTGAACCCTGGCCTGACCCTGGAGTTGTGTGTAGCCCGCTGGTGGGCAGCGCCCCACGACACCACCATCGAATTTTCCGTGTCATTCCACGGCATTAGGCCCACCAGCGACAACATCACGCTCTTCTCAAACAGCTCCGTGCAGCGCGTTGATGTTATCTCCAAGCTACGGTCTGAAGAGATCTGGGCCCAAGCTGTTGTCAAACATCACGTCCAGGTAAGTTTTAGTCTTGTTTTGTATATCTGAGGTTATTTATTGCCGTAGTAAATAGTTTGCTAACTATGATGGTTACTGCAGTGTTGTCGCTGACTTCCTGGTTGATCGAATCATCACTTATTTGCCCGATCGATGTTTAATTCAGACCGGCAGAATGGTGTGGGATGGACAATATTTTTTATATTGTCTATTACCGTGTCACAGAACATGTGAAGGTTACATCTTGATCGCCATTGAAGTAGAACAAACCAGTGTCGGGTAGTTACAATATGGGGAGACATGAGAATTTCTGGGATGCCACTAACGTACCTATAAGGGTTGCGTCGGTTCAGTGCTGTCAATGCCAGACGTATTTACTCTTATAGATATTCTACGCGAGATAGCCTGATCTGAATGCCTAGTTGACAGAGGCCTTGAACTAATAGTAAGAAACTTTCAAAACAATTGCCACTTGTAATACAGATTGCGACGTGTTAATCTTTTCCTTTCTTATTTGCAATACTTAGTGACATAATATTAACATTCTCAAATTTGTCGTGCGATTCCAGTGCTCAATATTCATAATTACTATGTAATTTTATTATAAAACTTGCACTTAGGTTAGTATTTTTTAATAGGTAGCAATAATTAACTTTGTTTAATTAAGTATCTTCAATCAATTGTGTCTATTATTCAAATTGAAACTAATTATAATGACGTTTCTACAGTCGCTGTTGCCATACGAGTCTCGCATCGAGGTGCTGGGTGGCCTAAGGGACACCATACCCGTGGGGCGGCCGATCTATCAGTTGGTTCTCTCCTACGCGCTGTCGGTCCCTAAAACTACTGAGGTTCGGCTTACACAAACGTAAAGCGAGGCTTCTATAATGTTGATTTCTAGACCTTAAAGTTCGGTTCAGTGTAATGCTCTGTCTACGGATCAGACTCTATATACCTAGGAATAACATGGACGACTGTTGATGTATCCCTAGAATGGCAATGTGATCAATATATCTTATGGCTTCGCAAGTTTAATTAACACTCTGAATTCCGGCCTTTTGAAGAGTGTTATCCGTCCTTATATTGTACCCCGTGAATAACTATTAAACCTGAATTTACTTGTTTCAGCTTTAACATCAAATTTCAAGTTTTGATCTAACCCTCACGTCCCCGTTTTATGATGCTCATAATTCCGCTACTAAAAATAAAATTCCCTCTAATATACCGAATTCCTGTGAATGCTTTGGAATTCAGTAAATAATTCGGTATTTTCCCTTCTGATTTCAGTAATCATAACAAGAAATTTTGGGCAGCTTTTAACGAAAATATGACAACCATCATCGTAGAGGAGCCAATTAATTCGGTCATTTGTTTTTTTTTTCTGCCTCACATCTTTTTCAACTTTGCAACCAGTGCTAATTTTTAATGAACTATTTTTCTTGTGGCAATAGGTGCAGCCCAAGTGCTGTCTACTGAACGACTACTTGTACGAGTCCGCTGTGGAGTCTCAGCTCTGGATGTTGTTTGATAGTAAGAAGCAATACCTTGGAGCTGGTGATGCATACAGTCACAAGTACAGCATCAAGCTTGACAAGGGAGAGTACGTAGTGAAGCAACACGTTCGACACGAGAAAACTGAACTTCTCGAGAAGCTCCAGGAAATGCCCATGACCATCATCACTAAATTATCACAAGAGGTATGCCGGTCCGACATTCGTAATTATTATTTTATCTAAATGTTCCATGAAAATATCGCCACATAATTTTTAGGTAAGCTAGAAAAGTTAGGTATTGTTTCAATTTTCAGCTGATGAGAATTTATTGATCAGGGTTTTCTTTGATGAAGGTGCATGAGCAAGTGAGACGCCACTTGAGACACATGCTTCAGAAATTTGTTGGAATCAAAGCAGAAACTTGAATTTTGGCTCTTCCGAATTTCTAGATTATCGTGCGATTTGTAAGACATAATTTTTTCACAAGAGTATTATTTTTGTTTAGGTGAAGCTAGACGCCTATGCGACTCATTACAACGCGTTGACCGGCGGCAAGAAAATGGGCTGCAGCGTCATGCAGCCTGGCGAGATTGTGCCCATCTTCTTCAATATGCCAAACTTACAAGACAAGTAAATCATGGAGATACTATCTGCGTTACTTTTCTTTTGACTCCATTATCTATGTCTAAAATTTTTATATTGCCCAATATAGTGCTATGCCAGCTGAAAGAATTTGCTGCCAACGTTGAAATTATTGTATATAATGTATTAAATATTTCCTCATTACGTATTAGTATGAAAAAATGCGTGTTGATAATGCACGCTAAATAAATTCGTCCTGTTTTTCAGAGTTTTCAAGTCACTAAATCTGTCAGCGGGCCATGTATTGTCCGGCACAGTCAGCTTCGCCAAGGATGATCTCGCCAGGCGAGTGGTGAGTGCAAACCTTCTAAACTGTGTTTGAATAAAATCTTTAATAATCCAACACATACTCAGCTTACATAAATCAATGTTTTAATCCTTTAATTTTACAATTTACAAAAGCGCTATTACAGTTCATAAATATTATGAAGCATGGTGTTGATTTCACTTCGGGAAAATCAAATCATGTTTGAAATTTCTTTAGCTGAGAGTTCTTATGCCGACTTGTAACGTTCGTAGGACTTGTACCCCCTGCGCATCGTGCTGTGCGAGCCCATCAACTGGAAGAAACGCGGTCCCACTGCTGCAGGAGACGACGCTCGCAAGGAGAGCAAGGTTACCTCAGAGTACTCAGACGCTGTCAGGGACATGAAGATTAACTGGATCACAAAACTTGGTAAGTTTTGATCTCTTTCCATCATTTATATTACTGTAAATTCATAGTTACTGTTCTAATACCAGGTTGTGGAAAAAAATCCTGTATTATCCAATAATAGAAAGACCACATTTTTTTGTCGTTCTATGTTATAGGTTTAAAAGTTTTTTAATTAATGAATATTTGCAACAATTGGAGTCTTGCTTGGATTTTAATAAATATTTTAATTCTTTCTCTCTCTTTGCTTGGATCTCTCTTTGAAATCGTTTGACATTCCACGACGCTAAATGTAATGCATTCACTTTTCAGAGTACAGTGCGAGTGAAACACTGTATCGAGAAGTGTGTCAGGAGCACCCGAATTTCTTACAGACTCATGTGGCTAGACTATTAAATATCGACAACCATTTCAACACTCCTCCCTTTGGAGCCTCAACGGTGTGCACGTATGCAGCTTACGACGACTTCTGCACGTGCCACCAAAACGAGGAAGCCGAAGTCATCTCAACTGTGGAAGCTGCTTCAGAACCTGAACAAGCCACCACGACAACTGCAACTTCTGAAGTGGAAGCTCAATGTGATCAACAAGAAGACCCGCATCCTCCTATACCTGAAGAAAACCAAGAAGTTTCTGAAGAAGATGAGTCGTCTGGCATAAAGCGGCGCCGAGACATTTGGCTGCAGTGGCGAGATGCTGTTGTTGAAGCGTCGTCACAGGTTCTCAAGTGTGTTGACCTTCCCGAGCTACTGTCTTTTCTGGGCACCAAGCTTGATGCTAGATCTGATGCCAACAAAACGAAGGTGCAAGTGAGTTTCTTCGAATTATTTCCCTACGACTAATTTACTATTGAAATAAATACACAATTAGCAATTTGTTGATCTTCCAGTTGAATGACCTACTGATTTATCTTGAGTAATCAGTCGTTTTTAGAATAGTCGTGTAAATCATATTGTATTAGCGATTCTAAGTGAAAATATTCCATGTTAAAAACAAATCTAGTGCAGCAGCTACAATAGCATCTACATAAGCTAGAGCATCATTTTCCCTTGCACTGGTTTGTTTGTTTGTTTGTAGATGGAACGTCACAAGATGGCAATCATTGACGCACTCTGCAAGAAAGGCTTGGCACTGGCTTTCCCATACGTGCCTCGCCTCTTGTACTGGTATCCCTCTTCCGGTACATCCGAGACCTCGTATCCGCTGCCCCCTGACGCCGTGCTCACCGAACTCGACAGCATTGCTATAACCATCCTCAAGCTCATCGAGCCCTCAGATGCCAAGGTACAGCTCCCAGCCACTATAGCAACCAATGCATTTTTTATTATCGTATAATTTACAGATTTGAATTGAGTTTACTTGGCTCAATCGGCTGAAATTTTTTAATTTGTGACAAAGTAGCTCAACTAGAGTATTGACATGACGCGCTTATGTTCACGAATTTTGTGATGCATCTTGAATAGGCATAACTTACAATCCGGACACCCATATCTAGGAATCACGTCCGTGTCAATTTAGGAAATTTTGTTCATTGCATTACAGGTTCATAGTAAGTATTGAACCGTTCAGAAATATTAATTCTTTGAACGCTCTGATGAAATTGTTTCACGTCGGATCTAGGACCTGTATACCTACTTCTTTTATTGTCAGTAACACTCATATTATTTATTATTATTGTTAGCCTCAAACCTGTATGTCTTGTTTATTTTAAGTTTGGATTTTGTTTACATACATTTTTTTAAATGAATTGTCACGCTTTTGTAAACTCGGAAAATGGTTCTAAGATAACTGTAACTGTTAAGTATATAATTTCAATACGAATGTAGTAGAATGTCAACTGTCACGTGTGTAACATGGTAAGTGTTCGCTCGTCAATTTCAGGTGTTTTTTCGCGAGAAAAACCAAAGCTAACCTTATTTTTCGCGAGACCAAAGCTAACCGATCACATAAGCTGTGATGAGCGATAGCCGCACTGAGATAAAGTCTTTATATGTGATTCATATCATTTAATTATTTGTTATTTTAAAGGTGATGAGCTTTTTCGTGAGCTACTACCAAGTGAGACGTCTGTACGCTACCGCAGCTCGGCTGCTACTGAAGCACCTCGAAGATAAGCATCTGAAAGAGGGCACTCTGCGCCTGGCGACGCTCTATCACCTGCTCGGCTACCATCACATTGTTGAAGAAATTTTCAGAAGCTTACCACTAAGATTTCCCGAAAAATATCTCTCTTTCTGATGATAGCATTTCCTGTCGCCCTGTAGTACCTCGTTACGTAGAACTTGATCTTCGTAACTTATTGTTATGAGTCTAGTGATAAACTCGGCGAGACAAAGTTTGCCATGCTTTACCATCCGCGTTCACTAGTACACGGGGGCTTCGATAGAATTTGGTTTCCTTTTGATTGGTTTTCATCAACACCATTCCTACTGGAATTTTATTTATTGATGCTTTGTATGGTTTGATTTCGTATTCTTCTTTTCTATTCTAATTCTCAAAAATTTGTTCCTATTATTAGTTAGTATTAATCTGACATAGATAATTATTTAATTTTAAATCATAATTTCAATCTGCCTTCCCAAGTTCAATGGCGAATCATAGTTTTAAAATGATTAGCGCTCTCCTCTCACAACGCTCAAACATCTAGATCATAAGTTTTGGAGCATGCATGACTGCTTTGAATTAGCTCCACATAATTAAAGTGCTGGAATTTTTCCTCATTTTCGGAGGATTTCATGATTAAGGATAGCACTCACTCTCTCCCTCTACCCATCCCCGTTTTAAGACTTTCCAAATTTTTGGTGCGTTACCTTTATTTACTGCACTTCTTTGTTTCAACCCGTATTTGAAACCTGCCAGTCTGCTCTGCTCGATTTGTCTTGCATTTTTATTATTATTGGTCTAAGTACTCGTGATTTCCGCAAATACTCTTAAGTGCTTCGCTTTAAGCATCGACATTGTCACGTGCAATTTTAAGCCTTTTCCCTGTATGCATTTTATTAATTATTCGTTTCCATCGTTTACTATCTACTAGTGCAATTGAATGACAAAATTTATTTTAACGCGGACAACAAACGCTGCAGAAATATCATTTCTTCGCCATCAAACACTAAAACGACAAACACCGCATCATTTTACGTACGGTTTTTAACAGCTGCATTTTCTATCCTTAAGTTAACTGACTTGCTGAATAAATATATTTAAATTCATATATATAAGAATTTATTTTAATTAGGTATTAAGACGCTTGGTTAAAGCTTGTTCAAGCCACTACCAGCTTTATTTATTTCCGTTTTTAACGACGTGAGATATTTCATAATAATGATAATAATTTGTGTGCTGAGAGCCTTCCCGACGACGCTGCCCATGCATCGGTCTCATGGCTGCAATATGTTTATGTAAACGCTTAGTTTGTCTATGGTTTCCGATCCTCTTTTTGGGAGAGAGTAAAATGGCTTCCTATTTGTAACTTTATTTTTCCTTTAATTAATGCGTTTCTCTAGTCCTTTTGGTAGGTTTACTCTGGTTAAAGTGTCATCGGAGTGAACTACATTATATTGACAAGAATCCATAGGCTTTGTAAAATTTTATGAGTGCTCGCCCGTCTTTCTGACTGAGAGTTATTTGTGCCTATTGAGCGAATTATTAAGAATGATATAGTGAAATTATATTATTCCCCTCCGTACGACCAAAAACTCGATATTTTATGTAAACGGAATTTCCATTTACTGGTGCTATAGATCAATGTATAACAGTAAAATAATTGGACCAGGTAAATTGATTGTTGGACATATACATGTGATTATTTGACAACATAATTTTGGAGAAAAATAGATTCCAACAAAGGTCTACGTTATCTCCTTTAAATCTTGAAGCCCCTTCAAAAGGATTTATGGTGATAGCAAGGACTACTACACACAGGACATGCATAGCCTATGTCCAGCCTCTGCTAGCAGAGGCGATCGCCTACACTATGAAAATGCTGTTGTTTTAGTGGCATCAACAAATGATATGCCCATAATTGTTTCATACAATTGTTTAAGAGTTGAATCCAAAGGCATTATATTTATCAGAGCAATAGAATTTTTGCCGGAATGTTATGAGTAAATGTATACTGACTCCATTTAAATATTTTTTTTATCAGTGTATGAAGGCAGGAAAATGGTACCTACTTTGCTTAGTACAAAATTTTGAACTTCAAAACTGGCAAAAAAGTCTATGGTTCTGACCAAGGACTACTACACACATTGTAATACTATTGTATGAAACAATTATGGGCATATCATTTGTTGATGCCACTAAAACACCAGCATTTTCATAGTGTTGGCGATCGCCTCTGCTAGCAGAGGCTGGACATAGGCTATGCATGTCCTGTGTGTAGTAGTCCTTGGGTGATAGCTAAAGCATGTGTTAGTGTTTGTGTCGGCCGTGATAAGGCCCATCTATTAGGAATGTGTGCAATTTGCTGGGGCTTTGAGCTAGCAATTCACTGCTCACATCTTGCTGTTTTCAAATATCTGGCTACCTCGCCGTCTGACTTCTGTAGTTTGTTGCAATCGAACCAAAGACTTGTCACTCTAATCTTGATGCTCTTAACTGTTACCACTCGGCCACCCTGCGCAACTGTCTATTACTGTTAATCTTTGACTGTAAAGAGTGAGGGTGGCCAAAGGGGCTGATTGGATTTACAAGTTACAAACGGCCGTCCCCTTCCTAATTAGTGTAACGTCCCCTTCCTAATTAGTGTAAATCTGTATTATGTAGGTAGGGGTAAAGAATATGAATGTTCAATATGTTAATTGATGTATTGAGGAATGAAGGCGCCGATCAACTCCCGAGTGCATGATGGTCATTAGAATAAAGACATGACATAGCATAGCAATAACATGACAAAATAGCATAAAACAGTATCGAAAGAATATTGAGAGCAAGCGCTAATTCAGTTTTGACAGTTACACTTTTATTCATTCAATTACATTATAATAATTGAATTATAGAGAAAAACTTGGCATCTTACACCTACCGTAGCAGTTGTTCACAACAACGCTGGCCAGAAAATGAAAATAAGACATGACTGGCAAATGTTGTCCGCTGACGCACCCTACTCAGAATTCACAATTTTTGAATGACCTGATTATTAGAACGTAAAAGTATTTTTGTCGTTAACTGGATTTTTATGATCCATAAATAAGACGAATATTGTTCATGCTGGAAAATTGATGATATATATATTTTTAAATTGAATTATAGTGAACATTGAAGTAAATAGTTTTAGCTTAAAAGGCTACATGCAGCTACAAAAAATGGAGTTGGACGAGCTAGGGAATTTAATGAAAATAATCATGACGCTCACATGAAATGATAATGCGTGTTATGAATTCAAATCACAACAAATCTTTTAATTGTCTCTCTGAAAACAAACCTTTGAGTCTCGCAAATCTCATGTCCTAATGATAGGGACAGTGTGGCGATAGATGAAACGTCGCTGAATGAATTAAGGCGACAACAAAACCATTTGACCCAAAATAAAGTTTTAAGGTCGGAATGATAATTGCGTCCTGGATAAGAATTCAATCACGGATAATTAGATGAACTCTTGATTATTACTAATTAAGCAGTTGTGAGATTAGCAATGTTTGTCTGCCATTGTCATTGATTAAATTGCCCACCCATTTTAAGACCCACATAACGACATTTAATTTCTCTGGAAATAGCAGGTATATTCAAATACTCTCTGGAGAAACAGCTCCAGTCCAATCGTCAACCAATTTAACAGATTTAACGATGCAAAGGTGGAATGTTACTTTTTTTAAGAACAAAAAACAAAAGAAAAAAATTATGAACACGTCAGAAAGTTTCGGAACAAAATTCATTTATGAACTATACTCTATACATTATAAATTAACCGGCATATCTCGTTCTTTCTCGTAGTGAATCGTTTTATTCCGTAAAAAGAAGTTAATTACGAATAATTTGAAAGCTTCAATTTTTTCCGGGACTTCTCATCTTGCTTTCGTCGTGGATTCCCACTCAAAGTGAACATTGTATCGACATTTAGCGCTGAGCATCGCTAAAAATGCTTTTGGGATCGTTTCAAATGAAAAAAGTATAGTGAGACGCAGACTCGTTATTAACAAAAGCTTCAAACCTGTGGAGTCTGTGGTCATCACCGGCTACTGAGAATGCACAGCATCTTATTCACCTCGGCGTTCTAAATTGATCAAATTATATTTGCACTTTCTGTATTGATACACTTTACAATAACATTCATTCATACTATTCATATGGACTCGTATAGAGCCTCTTGTACTCAGACAATGATCTAGTCGCAAGAGCATTAAAAACTCCTGTTTTGACGTTGATGAATAGTAAGTTGAACATTCGAGAGTGATTGGCGTACTAGAAAAATACGGATGAAAAATTCTCCGTTTCTTCTGGCCTAATCCCTTACTGACTGAACAGTTAGAAAATCGTCAATGAATCGAGTGTTATGCTTGCTACTCGCTTTATGAAAGACTTAGGCGCTGTTACCTTCTGCCATGTGCAAACATATACTCGTGTGCCGGTGTCTCTTGCACAAACTCAGCTCGCGGCTATTTCTCCACAACTCACCAGTTGGTTGCAAACTCAGTTTTCTCTCGCAGACAAGTAATCACCACATGTTCCATTGGGTTTGGATGCCCTGACTATGGCATCCATTGGGTTTGGATGCCCTGACTATGGCATTTAAAAATTTAGATCGTTCATATTTCCGCTTGAATACCTCATGTCGTGTTAGCTAGGCTAAATGCCTCATCATAACACAACTATAGGGAGTCAATTGGTTTATTCTTTCATCGTTAGAGTAAAATAGATTGAAAAATCGTCTGAAGCAATAAATAATTCCAATAACTTTCCTCCTCCGTAAACTTTTACTATTTTACTTTGGGTCTCGGTAAATAGATGATGCATTCAATTCATTAAATATTGCGAAATGATTAGAAAATAAACTATCTCGGATGACGCAATATTTCACCATAGAGTGACGGTTATTTAAAACAATTACATTGGATCTAATTATCCTTTGTGCTGAGTTTCTGCAAACAACGGATGCATCTAACACGACGCAACTGAACGCATAATGTAGGGCACGTATACTAGTAGTTCAAAGCGCGCCAAAAGGAAAAAAAATAATTAATAAAACACAAAAAACTGCGGCGAGGCATTATCGTTGTGGCGGCTTTACCTGTGATGCCCTGCGGAGGAACCCGACTTCAAGGGACCTCGTTTCCGTAAACTGTGCTAGTCACCATTGTCTGTGAAGAAGTCACGTTTGTACTATGAACTTCCTCGGGTCAACTCACTTATTAGCCAAAATACAAAACGCATGTCCTTTTTTTAACCGGCCAAGACTGGAAATGAGTTTATAGCAGCTACATAAATTTTCTTTGAATTGCAGTTGAACAATCGTGAAGATAATGATCGAAATAAAAATTTACATTTATTTATTGCAACTGGAGAAACCGAAACCAAACGAAAGTTTGTACCGTATAGACTATAGTTTCATCAGTGAATCTTTCACCAAAATAAACGACCAGCAACTAAGTGGGGCACTCACGACGAAATGTTGGTTGAGCGAAGCATGTGTTTGCTGCGGACACACGAGATCGTTAGCAATCAGCGTTCAAAAGCTGGCCAGCATTTAAATTCTCTTCTATGGCTTTTTGTTATTTTGATACGGTTCCTGAAACAGCCGTCAATTAATTCGGTATTTTGCGCTCATGAGTAAAAAGTATAGTGTTTTTGTAACATTGAATCGTTGTAAATCACTGTAGAGTGTAGTTAACTATTTTTATATTCTATAAATAATTCTGGAAGATGTACTTTGCCACGAATTTTTTATTTATTTTAGTTATTTATTATTATCATTATTTTCAGTGCGATATGTGAGTCCCTTTTTAAGAGCTGGCTCTGCAACAGCTAACCTTTCATATGAGCAATTTCTTTATCATCCGCGCGAAATGCTTCCAGCTTTGAACTTAATTTGGACATTACCTACTCTGCACGCATATTTTCGTTGTGCATGTCTTCTAACCTAACGTCTCTCAAGATAGTTAGGTACTGTTATGAGTTGCATTATTTATTGGAAGCCAGTTGCTTCTGCTGAGGCACCCACCAAAAACTAACAATTAAAACTCCTTCAGGTGGAGAGAAAATTAGGCATCGTCTCGATCAATGTCTCTTCTTGCAGATAAATTAAGCTTGCTGTGAAAGTTGTGCCGAGCACGGCGCCTCACGCTCGCCAACAAAGTGAAGACAGACAACTGGCTGGAAAGTGCACAATCGTGTGGAAAGATCACTGGCTAAAAACCACGTTAATTAGATGCAGGTGTCTATCAACAATCAAGAAAAACGTGGACACCAAGTGGGGAGAGCTGGAATATTCGTCAAGATGTCTAGTTCTTTATTGCCAGTGCTTCACTCTTCCAACAGTTGCTTCTGAACACACATGTCTCTCTCAGGGAAAGTATTTTCAATTGCCAACTGTTGTCATTTTAATCTGAAAAATATTATCATTGTATTGTCCTTTAATCTGAAAACTATTGTTATTGTATTGTTCTTTTAATCTAAGGGCTAAATATGTAATGCTCTCGATAAAAAGTAAGATAGGAGCCCATAATTTGATTTGGATTTCTTGGGCGCTGTAAGATTTGAAAATAATTGGTTTTCTTGACCAAATTCATATATCACTCACATGAGTGATCATATCATTTCTTCTGATGACCTGAGTATTCATACAACCTTTATAGGTCGTTCTGTTTCATTAAAAGACTGAAGATTACGAGGGACTTCCTTCCGTTGAAAAGCTTTGCATCAATTATCAAGCATTATAGTGTATGGCACAGACAAGAAATTAGTTTAAACTCCACCGCAATAGCAAGAGTTGGAGATTGTGTTGGCACCACATGCGTCTGACCTGCGGTCGTCTAGCCTCATGACCTCTATATTATGAAAAATAAAAATCTTGTTTTCAATTCTCAAGCACGGCAGCCACAGTCGCAAAGCGTCAGTTTTCACACGAGGCTCCTCTGCAACAATGGAGCATTAACCTCCGCGCAAACAGTGGAACGCGCTTCCTCAGGCCACCCCTTGTTCGGAACTTCGTTTGTTGTAAACGAAAAGACTATACTATCCTAAACGCGGCGTCTGCTTTACAACCTGTCTGGTCGTCATATTCTTGAGGTTTCCTATTTTTTGCTGGTTCTAGGTTAATTGTGTTCGCACAACAACGGGTTAATAAGCTTAACACCCCTGAGTAATCAGAAATTTATTACGCATTACATACAGACTGAATTCACTTTTTCATGTGCTCCTGGAAAGGGCGTTAGTTTTTTAGCTATGATAATAGTTTTAGCAATTTCGTTTACTAATTTCTTACTAACTGTTTGCGTTAAATTATTTATAAAGATATATAATATTGTGCATTTACTGTCGTCACTACGTAACTGAAGCGATGCTCACACAGACGCAGAACGTGTACTTTTCTGTTTTCACGGCAATTGTGATTTTGAGCTGATAATTTATAGCAAAAATATTAATTGCTTAATAGGCATGCGAATTAATTGCTCAATAAGAGAATGCAGTCATTTTGGCTTAAAAAACTGGTTATAATTTACTCATTAACCTTCAAGTTGTTTCCTTGTGATCCTGCTATATGCATGCAGATTATTTCAGAAATACGGAAAAGAATCCCATACTATATGAACGGCGTGAAAGAATATTTCATTGTGAGTGCGTGAACTAAACCGTGGATTATAGCAGCATGGTTTCATCTCAAATCATCCAGCTAAGACAACAACAGTAAGCCTGGGTATATTTTAACGGAGAAACAACCGCAACGGAAACTGATCTTCGACCTCTGAGGCCTTGATGTATCCTTTGCCGATTGCCATCAAGCCCCCGACTTTAATGTACTATTTTTTGCATTGCAGTTCTCATGTAATTCAGGAAATTGTTCTAATTGCTCATCACCAGGCGTCAATTCGTCTATTGTGGTGGCATTTTTCCACCATATACTCCAGTGATTGTGGGCCATATAAAATAAAATTTTAAAAGGTCATAATCATGACAAGATCTTGATCACATCAATAATCCCGATATGAATTGTTAAAGGTTGAGTATCATCAAATGTAATCATAGAACATCACAAATGAGCTTCACTAGAGTCAGCTGGCGATTCAAAGTGCTTGTGTCGCCGGCATGCGCCATTATATCAGCTGCCAGAGTTGTTCGTCAGCATGCAGTGGCTGCTGCGCCGCCCAGACCGTTAGCGACTCGGAGATTTCGATGCGCCGTCGCAAGTCATCTGTGAGATGGCGGTCGATGCTATGGCTTTTCATACCTTCGCAAGTGTAGTAAAAAGTCTACCGTATAAGTCATAAACTTGTAACAAATTTGTTTCTGGTATAAAAATGCATTTATCATGCGGTTTGTTAACTCCTTTGGCTAATTAGAATTAAGTGAAAACATCACTAATTAGTGAAAACATCACTAATTAGAATTAGTGTGTTGTGGTAATGTTTCTTCAATATTTGCCAGCGTACATGTAATGCTGCGGCATAGCATATTCTCCCCTGTTTCTATTGTGCCCTTGTTTCAATTGAATACATTCCCGTTTATGGCGTTATTGATTAGGCTCATCAAGAATTTAACAAAGGAAGCACCAAGTAAATTCAACGTATATTCAAAAGTTTTTGTTGGCAAGCTCCATCATCCGTTAAAAAATTTCAGATAATTTAAATATAATCAGTTGTGAAAATCGTGTCACTCGTGTTTATTGGATTTTCACTGCTGATTACACATGAATTCTCCAATATTTTTTGGACGAATGATGGAGCTGGTCTCCGAAATGTTTTCATAAAGAAATGGCGAATTCATTTGGCGTTTTCTTTGCTTTCAGTTTTTTTTAACTTGCGATTGAAGGACACTAATGACATGAATAATTAGAATTTGTGTTACAAACTGCATTCTGTTAATTGTGTTGTAAATTATTTATTTCGTACGAAAAAAAACATTCTAACATAGAATGTCAGCTCAAATGTATTGTCAGGCCATTTCAGTATTATAATCTAGCTGTCCTATCATTTAGTTCAGAATAATAAACTATTATGTTCTAATGAAAAATATATTTAAATATGCAGCTATTTTACTAGCAAACAAAATTCTTCAATTTATTCATTGAAATGTTAAACCTTAAGACGAGTTGTTCTTGTAGTGGAGTTTTTTTAAGAAAAAAAAAATCGTTTGAAGAATTATAAAAATTTTGTGGCTGTAAAAAATTATCTTAAGTGACACTGACATCTGGCTAAGTGGCCTGGCTTCTGCGTGTGCCTACAAAAAATGAACAAATGCGTCCTAATATAGAAAGATAACCTACTTTCTATAGTGAGCAAGACTGCACCGAAATGACATGACGGAAAGCTCAAACGTACTCAAGGCACGATAATTGTTTTTATTTATAATTCTTAAATTGAGAAATCTCATCATAGATTCGTCGATCTTTTGTAAACAATTTAGCTCCTCCTTATAATTGATGCTACAACGGCGTGCCACTTTCCGCTCTGTTGCTCAAGTCTCCACCAACCGAAGCTGGCGCATCAGCGAAAGCTGAGGAATTTTTGTTTTAGTTTAAAGTGTTGGTCAGACTTTAATTTGCATAGAATTTATCGTGGGAGCTGGAGAAATGTCTGCTAAGTATTTCTCTTTGCTTGCAAATTTTCACTTCTTCGTGAAGCGAATGAGCATGCTAATTGGGTGCAATAAATTAGGTTCCAGTCTGTAATTGATGTTGTCTATAATAGATGAGAAATAAAAATAAAGTTAATTTATGATTCGGCTCGACTATTCCAGATTGCCGTATGACTTTTAAAATGTAAGAAAAATTGTGAATGAATGCAAGAAATTACTTGACATCAACTGTCTTTGACAAAACCACTTGCAAATCAAATTGAAAGATACCAGGTATTGCCATCAAGCTGAAAGATTTACGACCATCAGCTAATTTTTCGACAATTTAAACTGCATTGTATTCAGGATCATGAGAAGAATTACGTTCAGGTTCGACGATTTGTTTCATGTATTGCCGTCGCAAAGATGCGGCCGACCGACAGCCGTCGAGGCGAGTAGTAGGAGCGTTTGCCTCCACCTCGGGTCATTCAACCGCTGAGCTTCGTGGAGGTAACACGGTGTGTGAATTGCTCTCGCGCGTGTCACTCGACTGACTGCCTTTAACTTCGGTAGCCGTTATTTCTCGACTAATAATCACCAGTGTAGAGTTCTTTACCCCTCTTGCGTGCTGCTAGTGCTTTGAAAGCAGTTGCGGATACCGAGTGAACTTTATTATATTTGTCATTCATGAAAATCATTGCCATCCGACTCATATTATTTATTTCCAATCTACCTATTTTATCTTGTTAGGTAGAAGTTTTGGGTCGCATTTGTAGGTCAAAGTTAACGTAATTTATTTTCATCCGTACCATGGCAACGAATGGAAATTATCAACTGAGATTATCGTTTGCATTCTAATATACGATACTGCTATGTAACTCAGACCTTTGTACACGAGCTTAATGAAAATATTCGTGACTGACGTGTATATTATTTAATCCAGAATATTACCTACCTGTTATTTTCTTATATGTATTCCGATCTTATTTATATAATATAGATTAATTTGTATGTCGTAAATTATTTAACACATTTTCTTAATTTGACTCGTAAAACCTTTCATCGTCGTGGGAATGTCGTTTTATTATTACTGTTATGCAAGACCTCCATTGAAAACCTTATGCTATTTACAGACTACAGATATGTGTATCTTATCTTAGCATAATTATTATCATTCAATTTGAAGAATAAAACGTTTGGACACTCGGTGAAGTGTTCGGATCACCTCTTTCAGTAACAGTGCTGTGCTCCTCATTCTGTGAGACAAGCCTTCCTGGGTGACCTCAATTTGGTCAGGTGAGTTTTTAGAACACGGTACTCAGTCGTGTTCCTTACTAAAGCTAGCTGCAGGGTGTTTTTAGTAAAGTTTCTCAGTGTGTCTATTACTAACCCTCTAAAGGCGGAGTGTTTTCAGAATACGCTCTTCAGTTGTGTTCCTTACCGGTTCTCGAGCCCTCTAGCGGCAGATTCTTATGGGAACATGGCTCGCTCTCAGTCATGAAAATCACTAACCCTACGGCGGCAGTTTTTAGAACAGGGTCATCAGTCGCGTACCTTACTAGCCCTCTGGCGTCAGTATTTTCAGAGCAAGCCCCTCAGTCGGGTACCTTAATTGATCAAGCGGCAGTGTTTTTAGAAAATAGATCTCAGTCGTGTACCTCACTAACCCTCAAGCTTCCGGGTGCTCTATAGTCTAGGAACACGTTCCTCAGTAGTATCTATCACTATTTTCTAACCCTCTGGAGAAACGTGTTTTTTGAAAATCTCTCATCACTAATGAACGAAACGTACCGACCTTCCAGGTCCTACTGAAAACACTAGCGGCACAGTTTTTCTAGCACGCTGTCCCTAGTCGTAAGAATTACTAACCCTCTAGCGCCATAATGTTTTTAGAACCCAATCGTCAGTCTTGTACCTTACTAACTCTCTAGCGGCAGTGTTTTTAGAACACGGTTGTCAGTCAAGTACCTTACTAGCCTTCTAGCGCCATAGTGTTTTTAGAATACGTTTGTCAGCCGTGATAACAGTACCTTACTAACCCTATAGCGCCACAGTGTTTTTAGAACTCGTTTGCCAGTCGTGCACCTTACTAACTTTCTAGCAGTAGTTTTAATAAGAACACGGTTCTTAGTCGTGTACATTACCTACGCTGTTGCAGCCTGGTATTTCAGACGAAATCTTAGCAAGTTTAACTTGTACTTATGGGCGACGACTCAGTCAAATTTACTAATTAATCATTTGCGAACGTTTTTTCTTTCAATTTGATTAAATTTAAATTCAATATTTAAATTCAGACCTGTGATCCTGTTTTCGGATTACAAAAAAACTGTTGCTTCATTGATTCATAATCTAAATTTATGGGCTTGGGTGACGTTTTCGTTTATTTTATTTTGATTCAATTTGAGATCTGATTGACTTAAGGGAAATATTCCCTAAATATTACCATTGACTTTAGGGAAATATTCCCTAAAGTCTATGCAAAACAACTAGCTTCAGCCGTTATCGCGTTTGCGGAAAAACATTTTAATTAATGCAGTCAGTATTTTCCCACATCTATTAATTGAGAGGCGATAAAAACGGTGAATCCTTTTTCGTGAAATTTCTGCCTCTGTAGTGTCTTCACTTTCACTCGAAGCGCTTTCACATGATCAGCGAAACAGTATTGTACAAAGGCGCTTTGTGGTATGCGATCTCCCTTGTCAATCTGGCTGACCCACAATTGATGTGCAATCAGCAAGCGTTTGACTGAATAAGTGATGCGCTGCACTTCATTTCGAGATCCCGAGTATAGAAGTAGGTCATATAACAACTCATTGCAATTATCGAAACTCACGCTTTTTTGGGATGGGGATGGGAGAATGCTTGGTACGCACCTTCTGTTCAAAGTTTTTTTTCTTTTATCATAGATTAGTTAAGTTAATAAGAATCATCCATGAATTATGATTTGATTCAACGCTTGCATGTACTCTAACAAATAATCTTTCCGTAAATTTAGTAGCAAAACCAAAGCTCATATATATATGTGTGTTTGAATTTAAATGTTTTTAAGATAAGTTCTATCATTAGTTCTGTGTAATTAAAACTTGTATAAACAATTGCGAAGGCAAAATTTACTAGTGAAGCATGAAATTCGAAAAAGATCATAACTAAGGAAGAGATGGAGTATAAAGGAAACATTGGTCCCCACCTTCATATTAAATAATTTGAAAGAAAAATTGTTGAAGGCGTTGTCTGAAATTAGTTTAGAAGTAATTAAACATAGGTTTATCAACACTTGGACTAATCAGTAATTTTCAGATAAGTTGTTTCCCATGTATAACGAGATTTCTTATGCGTTAGAGATCTTTTATAGTTTGTAAACATGGTTGTGTGCAGTGTTCATCGATGTACGTCGGTGTGACATAACACAACTTGTAAACTTATAGGTACTAGAGTTGCTGTTCATCTTGAAATGAGTCACCGTACGAGCAATCTACCCGCGTACCTAACTCAAGCATCATCAATGATATACATCGAGCATCGTGATGTCCGTTAATCGGAGATTTCTGAGTTTTATCTTCCACGCTCAAATTAAATTTGTACGTGGAATTTAATATATTATGATATTAAAAACTCTCGGTATATATTTTTACAGAACTATATCTTGAATAATGCCTCCAGCACACATCAACAACAAAAGTCGAGCTCTGGAACTTCACTTACGACATCTCCGAGCAGGCGTACAGATACGTTACGTATCTTCCCGCGCAAATGTTTTGATAATACCACCTCTAGAGTTACGTCATCAAGTCAGCACTTACGCCACTCGTAAGTCGATTTTGCGTACTTACGAAGTTTTGATAATACGGCCCCTGAACATTTCAAGAATCGGTAACTGGCCAGACTTAGTGTATTGGTTAAACGCTGACACTACGTATAGTACAACCACGATAACCTCTTTATATATTGTTAATATACCGAGTTTGAGCAGTTTTTCTTCGCACTATTTGTGCATTTAGCTTTGTCAGGTTTTAACTTTTTAAAATCTTTTCTCGCCATAGCTTCTGTATGTGTTGGTTATACATTATTTATGATAGCTTGTCTCCGAAACATGTCAATGATAACAAAATTAATATGTATTGACTTTTGTTTTCTATTTTTCGATAATTTATGCTTTAAGCAAGACATTGATCTCAGCGCAAGATTCTATAGTCATTGGAGTAGGAAGAGAGGCGTAGCGGCAAAGCTGACCTCATCAGCAACCGTATTGGGAGCAGCGCAAAAGGTAAATTAGGCCACCAAGATCAACTCAGAACCTAGGCTGATTAGAATCGCAGCCACCAGCTCGAGTCGTCCCTCCAGTGCATTGCTCCCGAAACAGCATTAGATTGCTGTTTAATGCAGTTCAAACTCTTCGCTAATGGCCAAGACTTGCTGACACCAATAGAAATTTCATATAAATGTGCCAGGTTTTGTTATTTTCACTTTTGTGAATACTATTGCCACCTAAGAATATTTATTTAGGCAAAGAAGTTTGAATCTAGTACCTTAGAGTGCTGGAATATGTGCTGCGACGAGCCCGACGAACTTTTTGACCTGGAGGGTGGCGTGACACCACCTTAAAATCACATTTTCAGGCCGATTGAAAAAATTATCAATCACTTGAATATAACCGTCAAACTCGTGTATTATTTCATAGATGAAACAATGCAGTATAATATGTTTAATTAAACTGCGAATAAAATCTTTAAATGCATTACAAGAACCATTAACGATCATCTCTCTTCAACGAAACGAAACACATCGCGTGAAAACCACAATATTCGCGTTCGAGCTCAGTCGAGACGCACAATGAAATGTCTGAGGATTTTAATTGTCGTCGCAGACGGGCCTGGCTGCAACGAATTGCAGGGCTGCCGAGCGCCGCAAGCTCAAAAAAAAAGCGCCACCTCTGATGTCCTCATAGTAAAAAAAAATCATCCGTAAAATTCAGTACAAAATATGCAGAGCAAAATGTACCTATATACAGTGATAGAATGGAGTGAAGCTACGCTATGCAGTTTTGTGATCGAGCTGCTGAATCCCATTTTGTGAGATTTTTTTGTATTTTATATTAGTTAATCAGGTCCCATTCGTTTCTCAAGTTTCAATTAAGCACTTGTGTTCATCCAGCCCTTTCGATCATAAGGATTTAGATGAAAGGATACAGGTTTACGTCCATTTCTAAAACGTCCATTTCTAAAATCGTTGTAGTACTTTAATTCTTGTAGTATTGCTGGCGTCAAACTCTGTTCTGAATATTGTTGATGTTTTCTCTACGATGATGCTTCTGAATAGCATATGGGTTGAGTTTTACGTGTTTCCAAAGAAGCCTTTTTGCAACTTAGACTAGCAGTACTTAACTTGTTGACGGAAGTGTTGCTCCGTTCGATGCACGCAATAAAGTTACGAATCTAAATCATGTGATACTGCAACCTCTTGAAGTATCTTTCAAGAACATTTCCTTCTAGAACAGGTTATATTTTCTTTCCATCAACTTTTTGTTCAATCTTATCGTTCTCACCATCACTCGCCTTCCTCCTTCACGCGAACCGTCGCCTGAGGAGCTTTTCCGTGACTACCTCTGCGACCTCCTCGAGTCAGTGAACCGAGTCTGAAGTCTCAGTCAGAGCATCCTTCTCGATTTCCAAGATTTGTCAACATTCGAGTCCCGCCTGCTTACACTTCTCGTCTGGAGTTGCCGGTCATTTTGACTTTATTGAATTTACCTCGTCAATAAATTTTAAAAACTAATTTATCAGAGGCAAAACCAATTCTACAATCCCAATCCACTTCCCACAGCAACGTTGCGTTCTCATGCCACGCCTGAGTGCGTTGCCATCTGCCGCTATGTCTTGCCTGGTGTTAGTAAGATGGCAACGCTGCATGCGATGTGAACTAAATTTCCTAGTCTTAGCGCATCGTCAGATAATAATTCTTCAATAGAATTCCTTTGCTATTAGCTACAAATAATTTGAACCTGTTCCATTCTTGCTCATGCTCTGTGAACATCAGAAAGCGCATCACTGAAGGTTATCATGCAGCGCTGGACGGTTTCTCTGACAAGGTCGGCAAGGTTACTTAATGCTTGCATAGCTACTTCCCCTCTTACTTCTTCTTGTTTCCTATGTTCTATGCACCTTTTAAATTCAATTGACAATAATTTTGCTTCGAAATGAGAAACATAATTTAGGTATAAGATTACTGGCGACAATTTCCTCAAGGGTTGTCCTTGAAACCGACCTGCATGCACTGCACAAGTCAAGACACGCAGTACA